AGCCAATACACATTGAGTAGTTCCAGGAGTGAACAACAGCCCTGACTGGCAAAGGAATGGTTCAAACATAGATAGTTTATGGTCTACATTCTTCTTTGCACATATTACACCAGTTTGTTAAGCATGTTTCCCTCTGCTGGATGTTATAAACTTTGAGCACTCTTTTGCTTATAGGAAGCCGGTTAAAAAATTGGATTTTCGATGGTATGGATAAGTTTTGCATCTGAGTTACTGGTCATTGTAAAGCGATGCGACAAAGAAACAACCTGAAGGTCTAGGTTCCCGAGGTTTCCGCACCATTTTATCCCTTCTTGCTGGGGAATGAAATTGGCAATTAGTAGGGAAAACAATGTGTAATTCATGGATCACATCTTCTGTTAGGTTTCTAAAGCTCGGGGAACCAAACCAATTGGCCGCAGAGGATATCATAATCCACTATTAGAGTAAAAAGGGACGGGAAATTACTATCCAAGGAACTACTTGCATTCCACATTCTGCTTGGATTCTTGGTTTTTTATTCAAGAATCTCACTGCACTTGAAAAACATTAGTATCAAGAAAGAATACCTTTCTGGCGAGTGATATTTTGGGAAGCTGCAGCTCTGAAACTATAGGACTTCCATGTTTGATTTTAGGACTTGCTATGGTATTTTGGAAGCTAATAATGCTCCCTGTGGCTTCCAAAATACAATGAGAAATGGGAATTGGCTTCCATGGCCCTCCTTCCCCATGGAAGTCGCCACATCTGAAAATTTGGGATGATGCGGCTTCTGGCTACATCTTCCTAAAATCAAATGCACCCCTCAAGACCCCTGAAACTCAAGCATAGGAGATCTATTTGGCAGACACCTTGAGTTGTCAAGTCCGTATTTAAGTCACATGGAATCTTGCAATAGAAGACCTTGTGTGATGAAACACCATTACCAATTTCCTGTAGTGTTGAGTTCATGTACTCAAGTTTCCGTGTATCGAAACCACCTGCTTTTTTGGTCTTACAAATTGTCCCTGAATTTGCAAGATGGAATTTCCAAGTCCCACTGTTGTTGGCCCATAGAAAGTCTCTCATGAGGCGCTCAACTCTTTTGACCACATTTTGTCTCCGAATTTGCAAGATGGAATTTGTGATTGCCAGCGCCATTTGCCCATACAAAGATACTCTCATGAGGTGCTCGACCCTGACCGCAGTTGTGGGCAAGTTAAAAAGTGACATTTGATGGACATAATATTTGACAAAGTAACTTTTAACATTGCAAGCCTTCCTCTTACGAGGGGACATTCCTTTTCAAGCTGACAATCTCTGCTCCACCCACTCAACAAAACCATCCTCTTGCGCCTGACTTGGTTGGCTTATACATAGCAGCATAACTAAATGTTTTTTACGGATGAAGTTAGTCCAACACCACCCTATCCTTTTAGCGAGTTAGGTTCATGATCCAGATCAAGACTGGATGGATTCAATATTTTTATTTTGCTCAATTTTTGGGGGACTTGATTATTTCTTTATTTTTTTTGTGTATGTTTATTAGGGGTAATTGTTAGAAATAGGATCATTCTTGGGTTTTAGATTAGTTTGATAAAGTCCATTTTTTCTGTAAATTTTTTAAGATAAGTTGAGTCCATGGTTTTCGTTTGGAAGGATAAGTTTTTTTCTTTTTGGTAGGTCCTTTTTACTTTCTTTTGCATGGTTTACTTTTTAGGAAGATTCATCTTTAATAGGAGGTTACCATTTTTATCTTTAAAGAGGCTTATCTCTTGTATTAGCTTGGGGGTACAAGGGGAGGAAAAAGTGGAATAAATTAAGGGTTTGAGTATGATGTGTTTAGAAAATAAGAGCTCTTATTAAAGAGAAAAGAACATCAATTGTATGGGTAGTTAATTTTTATGTAATGAAATAAAATTTATTGGAGAGAGAGAGAGAGAGAGAGAGAGAGAGAGAGAGAGAGAGAGAGTCTTCTTCTTCTTTCTTTATTAC